ATCAGGTGGGCGTAGGTAGTACCTACGCACTCTCGGGAGAACCTGGAGGCACCTGCGTGCCGCCCACGAGGCGAGCACTTGGGGCAAAAGCGTCCCGGACAGCCATTGCCCATTCGATTAACCGACGAGCGATGAAGATCTTAATGTTATTCGCCGCGTATAATCGCCCATTTGAAATCTGCTTCTGCGGAGATAGATAAACGGGAAAACGCGCAAGCGAATAATGAAGCTTCCGTATATACCGTGGCAGATGGTCCGTGGAGGATGACGGGTCCACCGTCATTCTCTGGTTGTCCTTTGAAAGGAGAGACGATCTTTGCAGACGGCGCGCGAATTAATACGCGATGCGATCGGCGATCGTGAGTCAGTTCGAGATGTTATCGTGACAATGGGCAAATATTTTGACAGCCCGCTCTTACGTTGCGTATCTTGTGTGTCTCCCGCTTATCCTCGATTTATAATTTCCATTTATGGGGATGTTATTTATTGCAAAATTATATCATACTTCTTTCTTCAATTTGTGGCTCCAGTTAGACGTGCGAACATGCGCTTAATACTGCTTCACAATAGTTGGGAAATTATCGTAGTTAGTTATCATTAGATAACTAGTTAAATAATTAACACATTAAATCTGATTCGGATATTCTAAAATATGTGCTTCCAAAGCGAGTACAATTTCAAAAAAGTACGCGGTTCACTAACGAACTTAGCCACGAGAGCACGAAAATTCACATAGGAATCCTAGAATCTGGGTTTTTGGCACAACTCCCCAAGGGCAACCGTATGGGTTTCCATATGGGTTTCCTATATGAATTCCCATCTTGTTTTATTTAACAAAGATACATCTAGTCGTCAAAAAATAAAGACTAAAAAATCATATCAATATTCATTTCCATGTTTAATCGACTTAATTTCGATAGTCGAGGAAAATTCAATTCTTTACTTCAAAAATTTCAATCCCAGGTACAAAGGCAGCGGTTTTATATTTGCTTCGGAATATTGTTGGAAAATCCTCTCGATGATCTCTGGTTTAATCTTTTCACAATTGGAATTTGTTGGCACAAATATAGTTCACCTGGAATCTTCACTTATACGGGACCACTCGTGGTCCGAAATCGAGAATTTCCGGGGAATAGCGTGTCCTACATTCCGCGGTTTTGATTAACAAACAGAAAAAGAAACGATCCCGGCGTCGATAAATCCAACTTTCGAATAGCGGAAGTGATTTCAAAGCGATTAAATATCCCGTGCGGTTCTCGCAGTTTTCGACGAATTACCGCTGGCTACGGCACCTGGCTTCTTTTCGTGATCATTGCTGGGATTGCCTTTCCTATCAAATTTGATGAATGTGTACGATCGGTTACTTACGCAGATTTCACTTCTTAATGAAGTTCCACGCGAACGCAAAATAAACATCATCAAGAGACTCGTGAACTTTTCTAGTTTTGCACTTTCCAATTTCTATCGCCCGTTTCATCGAGATTCCGTCTCAAGGAGCCTCCTCAAGATTAACAATGATATTTTTGTATGTCAGATTATCTCTCATCAGTTAAGAGAATCTTGAATGGTGGCATTATAAAATTAGATATAAAATTAGATTATCACTTGGAAAAATGAAAAATTACTTCTCTCGTTTATAATACAACTACTCTTCCGCCAGTAAGTTTTCTTTCGAGCTCTATTTGTTTATCATTAACGTGCACTCTGTCATATTATTTCTATGTAATAATCATTTCCTAGACTAATCATATTTTCGAGAAACGAGAGAGCTAATTGACTCGTTCGAAGATTGAACACACACGACGCGCAACAGCTTGGCTCCAGGGCTCATCTTTCCGAGAATTCGTCCTTCCACTTTCAGATCGTAAATTATACTTGGGTATTTTAAGGCGCTTCGTTAATCGTGTCATCATTCGCCGCTTCATTATCCATGCTGTGGATTACGTAAGTTTTTGAAAAAAATGTTAAATAAACAAACAAAGGAGTGACTCGCCAACGGCATGCCACTTGTGCCGTGCATGTGGGCCGTGAATCGCGAAATTCGCTGACAAAAAAGTTGCCGTCGGTTACGCCATTTACTGAAACCGCAAGTGTTCGAGGGTATCCTCTCGACGCGCGCTCGCACAACCGGTAAGCGGATGCTCCCGCGTCGTCTATTAAAAAAAGAAATGTTTAAACGACGTCATTAATATGCGCCTCGTATCCCGGTCTGCCTTCTATTCCGCCCACTTTCGATTATTTATCGGATAGCTAATCGTATAAATTTGACGCGACGGACATATCGAGGCAGCGGTTCCCGTTGTTAGCGCTCCGTGTATACTACGCGTACACATTCGTCCCTTGCCGCAGATGCGAGTGACACAATGGTGAAATGCGTGGTGAGACAAATCGAAGAGCGTTTTTCACTCGGACAATAATCGGCATGTTCAAGTGCATTTATACACTTCACATGTCTGCATAAATATCCGCGAGGGCCAACAATTAAAACAGATGCCACCGAATCCACTCGTGTACTGTACCAACAGAATTGCACTTCATAAATGGAACTGTGTAATTGAAAAACATAGAAATCGAGAATAAAATTTGTTCTATAAAAATTGGAAACTTTATGTGTAAATTAAATTCAAACTGAAAGAAATTCTCTATAAATTAAACATGTATAAAGCGTTGAATGTTCAACTTATCAAGTATTGTATAAAAGCAAAGATTACGGTTCTAACATTGAAAAACGAAATTCCGATCACATCTTGAAAAATATTTTTGTTTTCGTGCAACTAAATTCACTAACGTTCCCCCGTATTTTTAACGTTTTCCATCGACGCGGCAGCTCTCGATGCTTCGCATTTATGCAAAACGTAATACGCGCGCAAGTCGTAATACGCAATAACGCGCACGCACACGAGCCACTTTTTTTTTCTCCCGCGAATTAAGATTCGCTCGCGCGTCGCCGCGTAAATAATTCTCTTCAAGGCGGGACGTGTGCGTGCAATGCGCGTGCGTGAGCGGCGCGCGTTCTATTTATACGCAATCCGCGTGTTCGCCGGCAATAAAATCGTGGCGCAAATTCGGATGAGGTAAGGTCATCGGCGTGAGAGCGTGGGAGTACTTTCACCGCGACGTAAACGTTATTACGGCCAAAGTGAAAAACGCGAGAAACGTAATACCGAAGGCGTGCACGCGCGCGCGCGCGCGCACACCTCACCTGGGAGAGGTGCCCGTTAAAATTCCGCGCGTTGACAAATCGCATCGACCAGGTAGTCGCACGGGATAACGACAAGGCGCGCGATTTCGCGGTCTATCGGCGTTAATCACGATCGAACGGCTGGCCGACCGACGAAAGAGAGAGAGAGAGCGTATATCGCCGTTCGTTCGTTTCTTCAATTTTCCCCGGGGTTCGTTTTTACACTTACTTCATCTTCCGTTTAAATTCGCCGGCTATCCGGACGGCTTTACGGCTCGTGTCTATTTGTTACGCAATATTTATGGTCGATGTAAAATTCGCCGTAAAATTCGCGTTACGTACGAACGTAAGATGGAATTTCTGCGCAGCTGGATCGCCGACGCCAATTGTTGCAAATATTACCGAAAGCAAATACATCCCGCTACTCACACATGTATACACACATATAAACATATATTCCCGTCGCGTCTCCCCTTGAAAATCACCGAGACGCGAATGCAAGCGCGCTTTTACACGGCGTCAAAATTTAACCCTGGTCCGTTAATAACGTAAGACGATCGCCAATTAACATTAATGAATTTTTACGTACGATCGGCGGTAGATTGTACGAGCGCTGTCCGAGAGCGACGTGCGACATGATGTATTCGCGATTAAAAGCCGATACGAAAATTTCGCGATAATTATGAAAGACACCTAAATGTCGACACGAATTCCGACTGTACTCGAACATTCTAATCCTCGAGCGTATTCGCGCGGTCAAATATATTCCACTGAAATTCGCCGAAAAGAAAAAAAGAATCCGAACAATTTCTCGCGCCCAAAAAACGTTCCACGCCGAAACAATCGCCACTTTCGCGGAACGATCGCGACACGTTTCGAGCTGGCGTAAAAGAGAACTCTCATTGGTCAGAAAATACGCGCAGCCCCGCGTGGCTTTTATGCTAATACCTATAAACTCCGGCACAATCGTCGCTGTTATTATCGAGGCTACTACTACAGGCGATCATAAATCTCTCGCGCGACGGCTGGACGTTTCAAAAATGGCTCCTTCCGAGATTCGCGGCGCATCGCGCGTCTCGGACCCGAGAAGGAGGAGGAAAAGGAGGAGGAGAAGCGAGCGCACAGCCGATCCGCACACATACACACCGTGATACACCATTGTTGGTGTCGTGTTGTTGTTCGTACTCTCCAGGAGAGCCGTCTCGCCATATGCGGCAAGGCCGCCCGTCCGTGTGGTACTGGGCCTCATAACGGACCCCGCGCGCTCTCTCGCCTCTGAACATGGAAAAAACCCGGAAAATACGAGAGATTTTCGCGTCTCTCTCTCTCTATATATATATATACATATATATATATATATATATATATATATATATATATTGCTAATGTAATCTCCCTACCTCATATAAATATATATATCCGAAAACTTGGAAACTAAAGGGTCTAAACGTCTAGAGCGTTATTGTTATTATGTCACATTATTATTTTGAAAATTTCTTCTCTATTTTTTTGCTACATAATAATATATTCAATTTTTGTCACTATATGTATCTATGTACCTGAGATTCACATGTAACTTTAACATATTGTATCAATACTGTATACTTGAAAGGTAGAGTCCTATCCTATAGGTTAAATAAATCTATCCATCTCACTCTTTGACTGAATATTTTCATACTGAAATGTTTCCGACAGAATTCTACTTGAATTCTGCAAAATGCGATACTTCATCAAATCCGAAGTGTGGCGCCTGTTTTTCCGACGCGTCCAGCGTCGGACGGAAAGGATGCGACGGAAGAGGAACGTGTGAAACGGGCGACGGTAATCGCTGGCTTCTGTTAAGGCTTTTTATTAATCTTTTTATAGAGTTTTTTTGGTCAATTTACAACTGTTCGTAGATAAAATGATAACGTAACATAGGTAACGTTGCGTATAATAATCATAGCAATTAATATTCGTTATTCTCCTGACAATAATAATCGTAATCGTAATAATAATAATAATCGTAATAGAGCGACAGTTACAATGATTGCATTCATAGTATTAATATTGGTAATCACCGTCGTATTGTTTGTTAACGTTAATGCACGCGACCCCCGCGATCGGTTTGGGGGCTACGAAAGCTTAGGCCTAAGGATTAGCCGCCCGACGTTGAAATTTGTCGCGCGACGTCACGGGAAAGGCGATCTCTCTGCCTCCCCTGTGTTTCGCTGCTCAGATCGTTCCGCTCCGTTGTTGTTGCTACGCCCTGTCAAGCTGAGGAGCTCGGACGATCGTGCCGGATTATATCGAATATCGATGGGCACGAGTGCTCGAGATTTCGCCGTTCCGTTCCACATCGCTCTGTGTATATCGTACGGATTTATATTTATACGCATTCGTATATTTTTTTACGTATCTTCGTTTTTTGTTTGATGAAAATCGGAAATCGATAAAAAATCGGCCAGGGGACCTGCTATAGCTTCGATGAAAAATGATCGATGACAAATGATTGACAACCAACGACAGTACGTGTACACTGAAACAAAAGTGTCTGGTATTTGCGACTGTAATTGCACAACGAAACAGTCATAATCGGGAAAACAATCTCTGTAGTAAGTGCTGCTACAGTGTCATGATAACTTTATGCGCATATTGCTACCGCTACTTTTTCGTTAGAATGAAAAAAGAGTTTCGGTTGGCACCGAAGACGACTGAAATTTTAGCGAGATCGACCATTTTTTCTCCCTCAATGTAGTTTCATGCGACGGGAATATCTCGAGCATTCGACTGTTTCCGATTGATTCTCGCTGAGAATGGTGTTCGGTGATTCAGTATATCTGGACACTTAACCCTTCAGTGACGGACACTCGACTGTTCCCACTCGTTTCGCGAAAAAAAAAATGAGAAGAACTTTCGTGACGCATGACGCTCACGTAATAAATGAAGCCCAGGCAAAGACAAAAATTTTGCCGCGTCATTTCGCAACTGTTTCCCCGTCGGTTTCATTCGCGCGACTCGGAACATTGGCCGAGAAGTGCGACCGAAGTGTTTCCTCCGCACAGACTACGCTAAAAATTATTATTACTATCAACGACGGATCTCGAATAGAAAAATACACATTTTCGTTTTCGAGAATTAACTAGGCGCAACAAATAACCCGTGTTAATCATTTGCCGAAGGGTTAAGTCAACTTAGCTTAAACTTAAGCGGAAACGTCTATTTTTACACGGTAAAAACGAGGATATGCGTTCTAATAACGTATTCGTCAGCATATGTACACAAGATATATAAAACGCTCTGTCCGCGCAGCACCGAACTCCAGTCGCAGTGGGGTAACTCCGTCGTGTTTTCCTCGACCTTTACCCGTTTACATCTCGTGTGTGTGTGTGTGTGTGTGTGTGTGTGTATGTGTTCATCACTCGTGAACATTTCGTCGCGAACCCTTTCGAAGCGAACTAATCAAGTAGTACCACACCGTGTGAACGTCGTTGTCTATAGAGTGAAAGACTAGAGATCAATTTAATTATTACAATTTAAGCCCGAGTGTGAAAAGATTCGCTTTCGCGCTGAAAACCCGGATATATATTTACAGGCGACTTTTGCTCGCGCGTGTATACGTGTATACATATATGTGTATATGTCCGTGTGTGTTGAGTGCATGCGTGAATTCGTGTGCGCGTGTAGAAAACACGACGACGCCATACGCGTGAGAGACACGGGAAATCGCTCGAATTTCGAGTAAGGCAAGGCGGCCGAACCCCTGTCGACAGAAAGAAAGATTCGCCCCCGATCCTCGCGTATTTCCCACATCGCTCGACGTATAACGCGAGTCTAGCGAAAAATCGGAGAGGATCTCCCTAAGAGCTACGGCGGAAACGAACGGAGAAAGGACTGACCGACCCCGTGCAGTGTGGTCGATTTCGAATCGAATTTGTCGGAAACGCACCCTACTACTATCGCACGCGCGTGCGAAACCGTCGTCCACTACCGTGATACTAAAAAATATCCCTCTTCCGCAAAATAAATCCCACTCTCTCTCTCTCTTTCTCCCTCTCTTTCTCTCCTCCTTTCCGTCTTAATCCGTTACTAAGACACTTGATACAAAACGGCGCTACGCTTGCGTTTGGTATAAAAAACAGTTAAACATTGGAATGGCGTTTGTTCGACGACGACGCGTCGCTATCTACATAATGCAGTCTGTTTCAGGTTTATAGGTGAGGGGAGGGCTAGTAGGGGATGGGGGGGATTTGATTCTTTATACGGAGGATCCGAGTGGGATCCTCTCGCGTGTTCGACCTTCGACGTCCTTTTCTCCTTCAATCGATATATCGGTTTCTAATTTCGTTTCCTGCTCCATCGTCTCTCTCTCTCTCTCTTTCTCTCTCTTACCTGATTCGCCCTCATCCTTCTCGTTCTATCTCACTCCATGCCTCCTTTCTCATCATGATGGCGAGAAGTCGTAACGCGTAAATAAATCGTCTTTGATATATATACAACTGATAAACTATATAAATAAATAAATCGATAGGTGTTGCGCCTATCGGCAATGATAAAACCGATCGGTGCGTGCGATCGCGGCGGGTCTCTCTCCCCCTCTTTCTTTCTGTGGATGACGTCGGACGAAATTCCGATCGCGTCGATCGCACGAGACGCGCGTGGCGCTAGCACCCGTCCGTCGCTGTCTCGGACCAATCGGCGGGCTGTCGCGTGGGGTGCAATTAACCGACTGGAAGTAAATCGATTGGGAAGCCATTAACGCAAGACTCGCCGCGGCTAATTGCCCACCTTCGATTCCGCATTAATTAATTGAAAATCTCGTCCACGGGACAAGTTTCCTACGCCGCTGCTTACCTCTTCTTTCCCTCGCTCCTTCTCTCTTTCTCACCGCGCTCACTCTCCTTTTCTCTCACGCTCTTCGCCTCGCAGGCGGTCCGTCCGCCCATGAACGTCGTCTCGTTTTTCAGCACCATCCAAGCACCACCCCGATACGTGATTACTAAGAGCTACTAACTGATTGACCCCGTACCGTTAAGGCCCGTTAAGTTACCTCCGGTCCGGTCGGACTCGCGAGATCGTGGCGTACGTCGAAAGCGCGGCCGAAGAGCGCAGACGGAGGGCGAATCGTTCGAACTTTCCACGACCCTCGCGTCTCGTGAGAGATGAGACACTTGCCGGAGAACTCGGCCCTGCTCCCAATTTAGACTCTCCAGCTCTTCACCGTCGCCGTCGTCGTCGTCACCGCGACCGGGACGTCCGACCTTACCCATCAAATCGAATCAAGCGTCCAAGCGATGCGAGAGACGCGATTGCTCGCTCTCGTGCGCACACGCCTGGCTCCCCTCCGGTACGTCGACGCTATCGACGTACCAAGCCGAAACCTAATCTAACACGCGAAGGCTGCCGGCCTACACACTGCGATTCTTGCCGGGACTCGACCAAAGGTGGGAGAAGCCACTTTCAGACGCTGTCGGACGCCACGGACATCGGTCTTTTGTAGGACACCGGCGCCGGTATCCTCGAATAAGCTCCTCTCTCGGACACCGGTTTCGGGTCTTTCCTCGGGTTCGTCGTCACCGGACTGTCCTGCGGCAAAGTCGCCGTCCCGTTACTGTCCACCCACGCCTTGGTGAGCGCCATATTCGCGGCACCGTCGTTTGAGCCGGTCTGGTAAGTCCTCAGGAGATCCTGCAACTTGCGCACCATCTCGCGATCGTCCTGCAGGTGGCCCACTTTCTGTAAAATCTGCTCCAACAATGGATTCGCTACCTTGGTTGGCGACGACTGTAGAGATCCGGTGGTGGAAGCTCGAATCCTCCGGCCGTTCCTGTCGTATTGAATCCCACCGTTCGAGCTTGGCCTGGGTAAGCTTTGTCTGGCTGGGCTCTTCCTGGAGAAACTTGGTGTCGTGGCGCAAGCTGTTGTTGACGTGGCTTGAGGGCTCATGAAGGTGTCGGATTGGATACTAGGCCTCTTCTTGGTTTGACGGCCGTTCCACGTGTTGCTGCCGCTGAGGGGAGACTTGCAAGATTTGGGTATCGGCGAAGATGCCTTACCAACACTCCCCGTCGCAGTAAGTGGTTTCCGTAGGCTGCTGCAGTTACGAGAAGCGAGACTGTACCCCGCTCGGTTTAATGGACTACCCTCGGGACTGGAGTTGCTGTCTCTGGGCGTCCTGCTGCCGGACGACGTTTTCGACAGGTTGCTGATGGAACCGGCGCGGGGTGTCTTGTCTCCCGACAAGAACGTCTCGTTTCTCGGCAGCGGGTAGCTCCGTACGGGACTCGAAGATCGAAGCCGAGTCTTGCGCAGTCCAGTCTCGATACTGTCGGTGTCTACGCAGGATCTCTCCTCGGAATCCGCTTTCGGAGGTTGCTCTGCAACAGAGAAAGCAAATACGCACGTTTACGCTTCATCCGAAAAGTGCACTAAAGTCTGAGAATCCTGAAACTTTGCAAAGAGAATGCACGTTCGCATCTTATGATATGACATAGCTATTTTTTATTTCTGACTGAAAAACGGTTCCATAGATGAAAACATCCCTTCAATAAAAGTGTAATTCTTCAGAATTTTCCAATCTCTAGAACCACATAAACAGCAAAAATTTTACATTAATTAATTATAACATAGGGAATGTGTTAAAAAATGAATAAATATAATATCAAATTAATATCTATTAACAAGATAAATGTGTTAATTTAATATTATATTTGTTTTATTATTATAGTATTATATTTTTTATTTTTATTATTATAGTATTATATTTTTTAACACGTTTTCCCATGTAAAGTAACAAAATTTTAGTAGAAAAGATTTTAACAAAAGTTTTTTATTGTATACAATATTGAAGAAATGTTAAATACAAAATTTAATAACGTTTTATGTTCTGCAACACTGTGAGAAGAAAAATTTTTTAAAAAGTTTTTACCACCGTCTCTTAGTTTAAAAATTACATTTCTTATTATATCATTTATGTGTACTTTCATTCTGCAAAGTTTCAGACTTTTCAAAATTTCTATAATTTAAATTTTCCTTGTCGTCAAATTTTCCTTGCAAAATTTTGAATAATCAGTGGAATTAATTAGAACTTGTTTGTTCGTTTGTAAGCCGAAATCGATCGCTGATACATTAAGTAGCGAGAATTTTCCTTGTACCTTACATCCTTCTATAATATTCTTAATATTCGTAATTATTATCATAAATATAAACCGCTATACCGGTTGCAACTTTGCATCTTTTATTCGAATTAATTATCCCGCTGGAATTTATTAATTATTCACAACCGGGCGTCTCCCAGTCTCTCGGCGGAAAAAATCGTAGGGCGGCTCCGTTTATATAATTTCCAGCGGCTAGAAAGCACGCTGATTATATAAACGATTGCTGCACGGTGGTGCAATTGGCTCGACTCTAAATCTCGCCGTTTCCGCGCGGCGGACGACCGATTAACGCGCCCACTGTCAGGGAGATCCACATCTTCGACGAATGCTCGCGTGTAGCGATTAGCGCTCTCATGGTCGAGCGCTAAAATTTTGTCACGCACATTTGTCAAGGTGTCAGCTTTCGCGTACGCGTGCGATCCGGCTCTCCGATGGAAGAAAAATCAACGATACGATACGCCGAATCGGTCCCACCTGCGCTTAGCATATTTAGCGTAGGCGAGGAGGTGAAGGAACGGCTCGCGACGTAATCGGGGACTGTTTGTCGATTTACATCGGACGACGCACCTGCGACGAAAGGAGGCAATCACCAGGCGGTTCCAGAGACAAACTTTCCGCCGAGACTTTGTATCCGGACACACGTCGCGCCAGTTCTGATGAATATTCCCCTTCTTGCCTCCTTTTCCCTCCCTCTCTCTCTCTCTCTCTCTCGTTTTTTTTACGTAAGATACAGGTTTGAATTTTTCTACGTAATTTTTATGTAACCCGAGTCAATTTCGTTATGTAAAATTCATACGGATGCCCCCCACTGTTATTCCGGCGATCTCGCGCACTAATTGATGTCTCGGGTCGCACAGTAATTATCGATCATATATTGTGCATTTATTGCACCTCTGTGGCGCGTATCGTCACGCTATTCGACCGACTGATATTATCCGGGCAATCAAACGCGAGATTTTTTTATAACGAGCCGCACGAAGGGGTATAAAGCCGTTCATTCCTCCTTCGTTCTCGGGTTAACGTTACGATGCTGCGCTGTAGGTAGAAAGTCGCGATGGAAACATCGACTTTTGTGTTTCTCTGGTCACCCGATGTCACCGCGTAGCGTGTCGTCCTACATTACGTTTTTGCGCATTTCGTACGCACCCACGTCTAAAGTAACGCGAGAGAAAGTCCATTCTCCGTAGTTCGAGGAAGAGAAATTAGATTTTTTAATTCACGCATCGAGAGAGGCCAGACGCCTGACGCGGGACTCGAGTCCGTCCGTCCGGACAAACGTAAATAAGAAAACGATACTCGTCGGACCCTCCTCAGGCGCGTTTCGGTTGAAAAAAAAATTGACACCTCGAAATACCGGCTGGCCGATCAAACGTTGAATTCCGACCCTCATCAGCTCGGAGAGCCCGAGAGAATCGATCGCGCGCGCTCGATAACGCGCGTTGCACTTTTTAATTCTGGGCGCGACGCGAAACGCAAAAACGTCGCATAAATATTAACGCATCCGGTTATAGAGAACGCTGTGAATTACAACGTTTAAACGCGTGCATACGTGTGTATGTGTGTGTGTGTGTGTGAAATAGACAGAGAGAAGAAGAGAGTGAATTCGCGAAAGCACGCAGCTCGTAATTAAAATCTGGGAATCGAAAATCTATTTCGAGATCTCGTCCTAGTAACATGCCGCCCGGTCAAACCGGATCCGTTTCAGCCTTCATCGATCTAACGAGTCCTTGTAACTTGCTATTAAAATTACGAAAATGAATTACGAATTGAATTTCACGGGAGGGGAGGGGGTGAACCGACGTTGACGTGCTCGCTAAGTGCAACTGATCCGCTCGATATCGTGGTATCAGGCGTTTGTAACGTAAGAGAGGTAAATGCATAATTTATAAGGCTCTGTTTGGAGCGTAATGCCGTATTAGCGAAGTGAACGTCGGAGGTTACGGATTCCCTTCGCTCGCGCCACGGGCTATTCTCATTGCGCGTCTCTGGATCAATCAAATCTACAGATCCTTTGTTTACGAGTGTGTCTGTGGGTTTCTTCCTTAGCGCAAAAAAATTTTAAGTAACAAAAGTCCAACTAAAAGTTGGCGGGTAGAGGGAAAAAAAAAAGAGAAACACCCGTGTCTCGTCCGAAAGAGCGACGGAAGGAGAGAAACACAAAAAACGGGCGATTTTGCGTGTGCTGTGCGTCTTAAAGAGCCAACGAGGAAAATTAGCTGCGCCGATCTTATCGCGGCAACTACCGTAGAGGAACTACCGCATTACATTGAACGTTGCTAAATAACGGCCAGCCAGCGCCGGAACGAATCCAGAGAAATCACGAAGCTCGTTTGTCGCCTCGAGAAAAACCACGTATCGTTATCAGACCCAATTTCCCTCGGCGGTACTTCATATGCGACGTGATAAACGAGTGTAAAAGTTCGGAAAATTAACTGTTCACGAGACGATGGTCTCTGGTCTCTATCAATTAAGGTACCGAGTTATAAATAAGGGATCATCGTTCTTTATACGTCATAATAGCTCTTTTATCTTCATCGAGTTCCTCCTTCAATTAACTTGACGCAATTCTCTGCGTGTCTGAAAAAAGAAAAAATTTCGTTACCACGCTCTTAACAAGTTTTCACGGTTGTGGTCTCGGTCGAGCGGCTTAATCGCCACGCGATTCCGTTTTTTCTCTCGTCGTCGAAGAGGAATTTTCTCAGCTGACCAAACTCGAGCGCGCTTAGTGGCGCGAGCCCGGCTGACGCGCATCGCAGCGCATTGCTTGCATATCTCATCTCGCGTTTAAACAAGTCGGGTATCTCGGCTCGTTGCATGCGTGTCTCGTCTAAATCGTGCGCGCGTTCTAGCGCCATCGCATAAATTAAAGATATCGATGTAGGTGAATGAGTCATCCGGAGCCGCCTCCCGCGGCTTCGCGTAAATCTCAATAAGACGTTCGTTACTTAGAACGCCTTCGGATTGTCCTTTCATTTCGCGCGAAACGTAACATCTCCACCGGAAAACGGACGACGAGCGCGATTGGAAACGATTTGATCAATTGGATCAACTTTTAACAGGAATAAGTCACCGCCTTCCAAAAGGTAACACGACAAAATAACGTACGCTCGAGATGAAAAATATAAAATATATTTATTAATAATAAATAATATTAATTACTTTATTTTATTTTATTTTATCAATTAACGAGAATAAAAATTCTTTGATATACAAAGCGAATTACGGGACATAGGAAATTATATAAAAAAATCAGGATATAAATATAAATAAAACTAAAAAAGTCAATCAGCTATGATAGAACTCTATTTAAATTACATCTGGAAGCCCTTGAGGAAAATTGTAAAAAAATCAATGGATCCAGAGTATTCGTTGGCCAATATAAAAATTCTATTCATGCAGTTGAATTTCCGAGAGTGTCCTCTCAATGGAAATAAATTGAACGAACAAAACATTTTGGGTAGTGCATTGAGTTTACAAAGCTCAAGTAATTTAGGGCGCACGATGTGATTGCGTGAAAAGTAATAAGTAAATAAATAAAATTATATAAATGAATGAATAAATATAAATATAATTAAATAAATAAATATAATTGTAAATAAATAATTAGAAAAAGTATTAAGAGTGAGTAAGTGGAAGATAAAAAGAAGGAGTTAAGTGCACAGATAGAACGTAATTGTCATAATCTATGTGATCAGACCGTGCCCCGTGATTTCTCTGCGATGACTGTAATAAATCATTCCATTTGCTCGAAAGAGGAACAAGAGTGACTTACATTCAGCGTTATTAAGTATCCAGATGCGTTATTCAGATACTGTCTACATCTTTTCACATCCAGACAGTCGGCTTTTTTATCGACTGGCCGTATCTGTACGTAGATGCCAATTTCCGGATTCGCGGGTGCAAAAATCGCTATGCGGGAAGTACGACGGGACACGGGAAAATCGGAGGAAATCCAAGTAAATATAGAACTGTGATCAAGCAGAGGGGAGAATCGGCGCGTTCTATGTATCTCGCGTGAAAAACCGGCGAATTGAAGATTGCACTTCACTAGGTGACAAATATACGATTTCAAACGCTGCCGAAAAACAAGACATACTTCCTACACGCCGTCCTCCAAACTCCGAGCGTTCCACTTCGAGGCGAGTTCATCCTCGAAAAAGTTGTTATTCCCGCGGCGCGAAAAGCCGACGTCACCGGGTGAAACTGTCCGTTCAACACGGCCGCGAGGAAAAGCATCGGCGACACGAGGGATCGAAGCGGGTCGCGGCGCGGCCGACCACCGCGGACTTTTTCCACTTGGCGGGGCCGCGGCAATGCGTCAACCGCGCCAAGTGAGTCAAATATCCCGAGTACCCGCGCGCGTTCAAGGCGAGAGTGTACGACCGGGGCGCGTTATCGAGGATCGACCGTCGGCGATTGTTCCGAGGACAGGACAGGTTGTTGGAGGATCGCCCACGCTTCGAGCGATCCCTCACATAATCGGTCGCCCCGGCTAAATGTCAGCCCGGCCCATGCGCGCGCGCTTTTATAACGCGTGCGAGAGCAAGAGCTGCGTGTGTCCGTGTACTTTGAATATTAATCGTCTACAGGGTGGTCCAAATGTCGGGTCAGGTGCTCATGAGCGCGCACGAAAGCGAACGAGCAAATTCGCGGGACAATGTCCCGGTGCGCTCGCGAACACACGAGAGCGGAGACATGAGCGCGAGCGTGAGCTACTACTATCAGCTGGCATGTCGAGCGAATCGAGGCCTCTCGTCGCGTTCGAGTGACAGGACGGTCTCGATGAGTCTCGATAAAGGCCCGCCCGATCCCACGTCGACGGCGCGGTTATTAATGCGAGAGACGCGGTGCAAATAGCGAACGCGCGAGCGAGCGAGCGAGCGCGTACGTGTGCGTAAATTCGTATAAATTCTCAATAATTTCTGCACATTGTATGTAAATCGTACGGTGGATTTATGCGACAGTTCGATCGAGTCCGCGGATGCAAACTAGACTTTCATCGCGAGATCGCTTCCAGCGGGCTCATTTGAGCGTACGTAACGGGATAACGGGACTTCCACGATCGTCGTCGTTATCGTCGTTGTCGTCATCGCGAATCGTCTCTCTCTCTCTCTCTCGGTTTCCACCGGTGGCGTCGGCCACGAATTATTTCAAGTCGTGGGAAAACAACAACTCGGTCGGCGTTTCGCGCACACCGCGCGAAATCTCCCCGAGATAGAACTTTCGTTATATTTGACATATGTTATTTTTCAGGCGGATGCACATCATGATATTTATAAAGTGACTCTCCCCCGCAAAGGTTGTGGGAAAGATAAGATAATTGAAGAAACGCGAGAAATTCGCACACAGTCGTTCTGTGTTCCGTTCGGCGAACGCAACTCCGCGTGATCTGTCATGAAAATGGCCATCTGAGAAATGAATTCTTTTCCTTCCCGTACTACTAACTGTCCCGTCTCCTTCTTCCTTTTTCTTCTTTCGCGCGAAACAACTTTCTCCGCGCGCACGGTTGCCTCTCTTTCCTCCTGACAAAGAAAATTTATCGATTCTATCTACCGTCGCACACAAAGCCCTGCCGCCGTCTCAACGAGCGAATTAATTCGTCGTTGTCGATACTCGCGAGATCGACAGGCACAGATAAACGCCGAGCGGCCACGCTATTAAATTCCGCTCGATCCGCGCACACGCGATCTCGTTCTCCTCCTTTTCCTCCTCTCGCTCTCTCTCTCTCTCTCTATTTTCGCGCACAAAGCGCGCGCTTCTCTTCGCTCCGCCGCTGTAATCGAATTTAATCTCTCGATTCGCATCGGCACACGGCCGAGTTTTTTCGCCCGCGCCTCGACACGCGACATCGCCTCATCGTTCGCCGTACAATGCACGTTTGTTCATCGAGCGCGAGCACGTCGCACATCCATGTCTCTCTCTCTTTCTCTTTCCCTCTTCCTCCCCCTCCTTCATCTCCTCATCCTCTCCACCCTCTTATTAAATTCGATGACTCGCTCGCCGATGATGGCAAGAGCACGTCCAAACGCTGGACACTCGAGTCTGATCGACGCGTCACCATATTCAGTCAGGCGAGGGAAACAAACGTCATGGCCTCTATCAGTTTCTTTCACGGAGAATGAGCATGATCGGTCCTATCAACGAATAAGGTGATCTCGTGTCTCGGACGTAAACAAGACCTCCGTACGCGATTTCCGTACGCGACGGAAGCGGAAAATTTCGCATCCACAGAAAGCGCGAAGTCAGCGATTTCGAGCCAACCTTTGAGATACCGAAAAGGGCAGTCATTTGGTGTACAATCGATCACAGGACGGTTACGACAGTTTTTTTTACATGCTTCAGAACATACAAAAGATACAAAAGATGAAGCGAACCTATGATTCACGAATATGCGTAGCAGATAATCAGGCAGCTTTCAAAATTACACGTGTATATATAATTTTGACAACTGTCTGACCGTCTATTCCGCATGTTCGTGAATCATAGATTCACTTCGTCGTAATTTTTGCATGTTCCGAAACATGTCAAACAAACTATTGCAACCGTCCTATGATTGACTGTACGCATATTTTCGAAGTATTGATATCACAATATTATTTCTATTTTAATCTGTAATAATTATATAATTTATATATAAACTATATAATAAATATGAACTATATAAGGAAAATATTGTTCAACTTGAATTATAATTCTAGTTTATATTGCAACCAATTACATAGATGTCAATATGCCAAAATGGCAGAGTAAATAAATGGAAACCTCTGTTCTAGTTGTAACATATTGCACGTATATAATAATAATTATTATCACAATTATTATTATTACTTTATGGAACATTTATCATACAGTTTCACTGTATGAACATAATAATATGTTAATTTCGAACATGTGTTTCTTGTAAATAAAATATTTTCGTGTGAAATTTCTTTTTTAACTTGTTTTCTTCAAATATTCAATTTTATAATTTCAGTGTTTCCCAGAAATCATGTTTCACGTGATTATTGCATCGCGTAAGGTGATTTTCTTTAATATTGTACGTTGCAAGGGTATTATGTCGCAAGGGTGAAATGCGATGCACAAAGTAACATTGAGAAAAGCGCACATTCGTTCACTTACTTTGACAATCGGCAACCGTGGGCGAGCCCTGCGCGCTGGCGGAGTTCCCATTAGCCATGGACGACTGGACGGCACCGAGACTGCGGTAACCCTCGTCGGACACTTCGCTGCCGTTGTCCGAATGTTCGCTGTCGCCGTGGGGCGACTTCTGGCAGTGGCGACCCTCGTTGCCGAAAGTCTCGGCGGACTCTTGCTTGTTCGCGGGCGGACTCGGCGTCGGGCTGCGACTGCTGCTCGAATCCTCGCCACATTTGTAGTTGTAAATCGACGGCTCGTACTTCGGCATGCTCTCCTTCTCGACGGCCCTACGCGCCACGCCGCCTTCCACCACGTAACGCTTCATGAAGTCTTCCGACAGTTTCGCTTGCTGCTGTTGCTGCTCTTGCCTCTTGTTGGCGTCCTTGAACAGCGTGAACGATTTTCCGTGAGTTTTCGCGAGGTGTTGTCGAAATTAACATAACGGAAAGTGATATCTGAGAGATTGCTATGATTTCCGAATGAAAAATAATTAAAACTTATCAAAACGAATTCGTTATACACCACGTGCTATATATACTTTATTTGTTAGAATATTTTTCTATGATTTTCAACCTTATATATTATATTATATATTATGAGGTTAAAAATCATACAAGTAGCCTTAGTCACAATGTTGAGATATATGTGACGCCTGGTATACGAGAAAGTTTGAATTGCCAACTGCGTTCTTGATCTTTGACACGTTGAATGCCCATGATAGTCATCGCTGACCACCGTAACACCGTGTCTCGTTAAGTTACATATAATTAACTAGATTTGAAAAACCGACTGTACGGCCATTAGAGAGGCAATGAAACAAAATTGAAATAAAATAAAAAATAAAATAAAACATAATAAATCAAATAAAAAAATATATACGTGTCTGAATTATATTTATTTTTCATATCTGATAATTCAATCATAAGCTTTCGAATTAAGAGAAAGCAACGCGACTGTCAACGTTGTTAATGGTACTTTAAATATGCGATCTTCAAAGTGCGTTTTGAGAATGTTTAGAATTTCAAATTTTTCATACAACACGACTTGCCACTCTCTCGTGATTTCGACGGAATCTAAAAATACGATAAAGGGGCGAACTTACTCGGCCGTTCTCCTGAGATTTCCCATGACTGGTCGGCGAAACGGCGCTGCCGCTCTTCGGCTCCGCTCGCGACGTCGGGCTTCTCGATCTCAGATTCGCCCTGGGCGTCGGCGACCTTGATCTCTGCTTCCCCAAATCGGCCTGGTGATTCGGACTCGCCAGGAATTTCCTTTGTGGCGTGGGACTCCTCGAGCGATTTATCTTTCTCTGCTCGTCGCTCGACTGCTGCGGCTGCTGTTTGCTGCCAGTATGGTGAGGTGTGGGCGATCGCGAGCGATTGCTAGAAATGCTCCTGGGTGCGTGCAGCTGCGCCGATTGCGGACCCTGCATCGTGCCGGCGCACGAACCGATGCTCGATGCGGAACTCCGTCGCGTTCTCGGAGGTGATCTGGGTGGAAATAACGCGACGACCGGGCATTACGACAGAATTGATGTCGGTCGTTACCGCATCGTTCTGACCGGGTATGCTGGGGAATTTTCAGTTTCCGCACCCGCGACCAAATGTCACGAGACGTACACTATCGTCCAAAAGTTAGCGAGCGTAACCAAGATCGGGAAAATTTGCGAGACTAGACTTCCAGATATTAATAGAGAAGCAACATCGAGCGGGATCGGTCTGAATTATACAATCGAAACGCCATTTTTTTCTTAGTAACTACGACTGAAAGCATATAATATACCGGTAATTTGTATTACTTAATTTTTTTAAATAAATTGTTAAGTCCATAAAGAACCAAGCACAGATTTTTTAGCTATTTTGTGTGGCTCTTTTTATAGCCTTAATAATTTATTAATTTTCATAGTTTCAATGAGCCTATATATACTTATTACTAACTCTTCTTTCTTATCCATTTTCCTTCTTTCACTTCCTTACTCACTTACTCTAAATATCACTATAAAAAAAGATGGCCGATTTTGAATATATCGAATTCAATACCGCTTCTCTATTCATATCTAGGACTCGTCGATGGTGACGAATCTATTTGCTCATTTATTGCGAAAGCTAATGAATACGACGCTGTATACGATATAGCTTATTTTCACTTGAAAGACTATCTCTTCGACAATTGAATCTAATGTATTTATGGACGGTACTGTAAACCACGAAACGACGTGTGTTTACGTATTCGTGTGTTTTATTACCCTATATAGGAGTGTCGCGCGATAAAACGTGCATAGCTCAGACAAGTTGTCGAAGCCATTAAATTTACGTTGTGGATGGCATTTGCAAGTGAGAGACACTTGTACGAAAATAAATCCCGTCCTACCCCGTCGACTAGCGTCACCCTCACGTTGCATTTTGATCACGTAACTGTGCGGACAACATCTCACTAATGGGACATAAATTTTTATCGAATAAAATCATCCGATTAACATATGATTTCATTCGTATGATTTCAGCGCCTGATTCCTAGTTATACCTACGTCCTCGACAAAAATAGTAATCTGTACACGGCCAATAAAGAGACAACGAAACAAAATTGAAATAAAATAAAACTAAAATTGAAATAAAATAAAACTAATCTGAGAGTGCTAGGAAATGAGCAGGCCGATTATTTTAATTAAAAATAAAATTAATAAAAAATGAAATAATGACTTCTTTTAACGAATGGACAGAGTGCTATGATAAAGGAAAGAGTCAAGTACTCACCGTTCATAATGCACCTGCGCGCTGCCCAGATCGAAGGACGCGCCGGCCTTTTGAATGAGCTTCGCTGAGATCATCGAGCGATGCGCTGAGGAAGCGAGAAGAAAGGACAATTGTTGTGGCCGTGACGACTTGTTTAGATTTAGAGCCTGATCTACGGGCCTGATAGAAGACGCGATATACTCACAGGTCCTGCATCGGCACGGATCGTGTTTGTCTAAATAATGACTGAGGGTATCCCAGCCGCCGCCGACACGCACCATCACGTGACTGCGTAGTATCCGGACGAAGATCAAGACCTTGGTGTCGCCGATTCTGTATTTGCCCTCGGACACGCGGATCATCGGGAACTGCGTGGGGCACGTGCAACCCTCCACGAGATCGCGAACCTGAAAATGATAAAGCGTTCCGGTTTATATTCGATTTCCTTTCAATAAGATATATTTATACAGTAAGAAATATTTTTTCAAATATTTTTTTATTTTTAACGACTTCGTATTTTGTAATTCTAGTAATAGTAATTTCTCAGTTTTTCTTATTTTTCATCAAGAAATATCAATGGGATCGTATTTGAAAAGCGCCGTATTTTGTTGCTTTCGTAGAAAATAAGAAAAAGTTACTTGCTTCACTTGCGGTCGCAAATAAATGGACTTTGCATTATTTTTGCTGCTATTCAGATTTATCGTTCTCCTATAATGCAGCACATGCGCACAATATATCTTTCATATTTCTGACTGCTCGCTCGAAGAAATCCCTCCGTAACGTCGATACCAGAAACACGTCGCTATTTATAACGTTCAGCGTTGCGAATTGCAGCCGACAAATATACTATCTCCAACTCGAAAAACGGCGGCATACTCTCGGACGTGATTTCCAGCAACAAACACCGCGGGGTGTGTTTCTTTATTTGCCGGATCACCAGACATCGTCGAAACGGGACTGGCGCGGCGTAGTGCGGTGCCCGGCTCGTCCGATGTATTGTTTCGCGGAGAAAACATCGAACCGAGAGAAGCAGCGGAATATGGGACGCCTCCGGTAATTAGTAGGAACGAAACGAAATTCTCGGAAGCGCGCTAAGATGGTTTCAAATGGACGTCCGTTTCGTTAACAAGGCCGCGGAGCAGGTAAAACTGCTCGACTTCGTCTCTCGAGTCGCTTTCAGCGGCTGGCTGGCTCGCTCGCTCGCTCGCTGAGTCACGCTGAACAAAAACGGAGCCGCTCGTGTAAGACCAATTACCAGCCCGGGAAACCTTGCTTTTCCTTTGAGAAAGTCGCTCCTGTTCGCGGTTTAATGAAGGAAGGGCTGCGGATTTTGCCGGCGGATCCGATAAAGTCGCGTCTGAGCAAGCGCACCTCACATGAATACGATAAGAGATTGCTGAATATCTAAGATATTCCATAATTATTATCTAAGGTATTCTGGAATCGCACATCCTCTCTCCTTATCAATTTCTCTCTTTTCTTCCTGAGAAATCAGCTTTTCTATCAAGAAGTTCTTAATTGAAAATTTTTAATTGGAGAAGACTATCTTGGAGATTGTACGATACATATGATTTTTAGAGGCTCTTAGATTATTAATTATAGGAAACATTAATAAATCTATGAGAGCCGACTGATCATTACGAATATTATTAATATAATTTTATATAATTCTGACTAATACTAATATTAAATATGATTCAAAAAATTGTGATTAATAATATTTAATATATTAATTAATAACGTAAAATATTCATTGCACGCGATAATAAAAATTATATTAGCAATAATCAACCTATATTAGCTCTTAAAGACTTGTTAGCGCATCGTGTGATTGAACAATATGAAACTTTCATGTTATTATATGGATTATTTGCATGAAAAAAAACAATTTTATTGATGTAATTGAATTTTTTGTTGCTTGGGAATCAGATGAAAATTCGGTTGAAAGAACAGAAAAATTCCTGCAGGAGGTTTCTACTTTAATTGTTTTCAGGTGTCTCAACCGAGTTTTAATGCAGCTGAATGTACACACGAATGTTCTCAATCGCAGTAACACCGATAACACCTCTTGTCGTCGAGTTTTCATTCTTGTCACTGAGTTCTCATCTCTATTCTGTCACAGGAACCGAGTTCTGTCTTTCCGTGTGATATAGCAGAGGTAAAATGTTTCCGCAGATGTTCCTCATTTTTCAAATAAGTTCGTCGTTTCACATTGAGAAACCGTCTTACGAACACAACCGGGTGTCTCTAGATCCTCGTTCCCACAGACGCTTAATTTCTTCATCCATACACCCGGCAACGGTTCGTTCTCGTGAAAGTCTCGCGAGATCTCCATAAGCCCCAGAAAGGGCGGGTCATCCACTTAAAACAGCCTGGCACGACGCAGGAGACCATTTTCACGAGCGGTCTTCGCAAGCGCGCCCGAATTAGAAAGCAGAGATAATTGCGCGCGAGTTGCGCGCGTTGAAGTCTCCAATGCTCCCGAGCGTCGCGAGGCCGCGCATTAAAGGAGCGTCCCTTATGACGAAACCAGCGCACTTGGTCTCTTCACGGCGAAACGCGAGAAATGACAGGCGCCACTCTTTTTTTCCTCCTCTCCTTCCTATCGCGCGGACGAAAACTTTCGAAACGCCGCGCCTGCGAGTCCGCAGATAGGCGAGCGTGTCGAATCGACGCGCGAGTTTCGCGCCTCCTCGTCGCCGAATAATGAAGTAAATTTGTTCGTGTTTGCGTTCGAATTGCGCAACGATTGTCGCCGATCACATCTCGGTAGGTGGGTTTTCAGCCTTGCGCAACGTCCCGATACTTAATTTCCACCGAGTAATTACGAACCACGCGCACGTGTCTCGCGTCATATTTTTTCTTTCTTTCCGTTTTTATGTCTTTATTATTGAGACATCAAGGATCCAACATCATGGCGTGACTTTTCGTTCGACGGATCTCCGATAATACTCACCGGCGAGATTCGAGGAGCGTCGAGAGAAGAAATCGAATGTGAAAGACCTACGATCCCTCCTCCCTCCGTCCGCCACAACCGTTCTCCGCGCGACAAACCGAAAAAGATGTCACAACGTATGTTTATACGTTACGTTACATTAAGTTACGTCACACGCGGCTGCGCGCTGTTAGCCGTGTACAACAGCATCGGCCGCAACGACGAAAGTGCCAGAGTCCAGCTGGTAGCGCGCGCACTCGAGTCCTTCTTCCACTGGCCGATTCAATTCCTCGTCGAGCCGACGCCGTCGGCGTCGCTGACGATTTATCGGCTTGGCGTGTAGATACACGCCCGCGCGACCGATCGATCGATCGATCGTGAACGTGCGATACCGGCGCGCGACTCCCTTTCCCTCTCTCTCTCTCTCTCTCTTTTCTCTTCTCCCGCGCGTTATCGATCTGATCGGACGATAAGCGAGGATCGATCGATCCGCCGGTATGGCGGTGTCGCGGAACAACGACGCCCGGGCCGCGTGTACGCGCGACGGCGCGCTTGCGTTCGCTTCATATTGATCGGGCCGGAATCACCGGGGTATCACGGCCGCAAATCTCGCGCCGATACACGCGAACACGCGTGTCCTTCGGCGCGACGTGCACGCGGCCACCCCGAAACGACTGACGTCATTGACGTAATCATTTATCAATGAGCGCGCCGATATTCCCCGCCGGAAGTAGTCATTAGCCGGAGGTATCGATGATCGCAAATCGCCGGTTTGTCCCAACACTGCGCGAGCACATGCGCGCGTGCTTTATCGAGTCATCAGGCCGCGATTTACGACGCCGAAGGTGTTCCCTTTACTTCTTGACCCGGCAGCGGTGGCGCGAAAGCTATTCCTGTCGCGGTGTTGTGTTGTTGTTGTTACCTTTGTGAACCTACTATCAATGATTATGGAAACGTGGACCGTCGGATTGTGATTAGAGATTGATTACAGTTATCGCGTGGCGGGGCCGTCTTAAATTTCCTATCGGTAGGTTGCGCTTTCAAGGGAGTTAACAAGGAAAAGTCTGGATAGGTATGCCGTATAGGAAACAAGTGTTTTTTCACATGTGCTTTTCTTATGGATTTTGCAGTTGAAATAACTTCTCGAAGGAAATTCAGTAAAATCGATTGTGAACGAACGTCTTTGAAACTGTGAACTGTCCGTGAACTGGACGAAAGAAATGTTTTAAATAAAAAAGTTGTATATAATATATTTAATAAAAATGTTTTGAATAAAAGTAATAAAAGTTTTGTGGAATTCGATGATTTCTATAATTAATTATACATTTGGATCTTCCAGAAATATGATTTTTTAACATTTTTTAACATACAATACGATTTCAACTTCCATATAACGTTTTCGAAAATTCAAATTCACGGTTATAGAAAGCATCGAATATCGTAAAACTTTTGCCTAAAACATTTTCTCGTGCGCCTCGTGCGGTTTCGAAAATATTCACTCACGATCAGTTTGATCGAATTACCTTGCAGGTTGTTCTTTCAACCCCTAAACGTGCAAAAGCGCGTTTTAAAAAATATCTTTCTTTTTTTCTTTTACATTATTATTGTTCTATAACATATTCAAAACTTATGAGAATTAGTAAATAAATTCCTGTAAAACATTCGCGCACACACTTGACTTCTATAAACCATAACTTTTATATAACTTCTATAAGATAACGTCTTTCTTATGACTCGTTTTTAAATCGCCTTGACTTGTCGTATGTCACTTTATAGTTTTGTAAATTTATCTTAAGCTCTTCCCAATTCTGATTTTCTAATATAATTTCGCTTCACATCATAATACCGAAGTTTCATTGATCGCGCAGCTCGTAATGTTCGTTCGTTAAAGTTATTTATCGCCATCTTTATTAATAACTTCGTGAGTCGGCTTTGTTTTGAATCGCTTCCCGATAGTTCGAGGATCGGAATTTTCTACGACGGCCATTAAACCGGCCACGCTATCGATCACTCTCCCTTATCGCCGTGTCGGATCACCTTAAATATACAAGGTGTCTGTGAAAGATCCAATCTAACTTCGAAAACGTGTTCTACCGGCTGCTAAGATCGACCCAGATCTCAGAATGCATCGCGCGCGCACATACACACACGCATATATTTACAATCAGTTACGACCGTTCGAAATTTAACGTCTGCGTATTAGTGAAACTATTCAAATAGTTGGGAAACAGGCCGCGAACTATGAAACTCCCCATTGCGCGTACGCGTTTCGATCCTCTCCCCGGAAATTCTCCTGGGAAAGATTGTTCGTACTCGAAACAACAACGATTAACGAGAATGTCGGTGAATCGTGTCTGTATCCCGGAATGCTAATCACGATATAAACTTCCACCTCGCGCAGGCATCGTCGCCAGATCCGCGCGCCGAGTCACTTAATTCTTCCACTTAGCAGGCTCTTAAAACAGCTCTCTC